AAGTTTCAATCCATCACCTTTTAAAACATAGACGCAGGTGCTATCGAAGTAGTTTCCTCTACCGTGCGATTAGTAATTTTTTCTTCAACACTGAGAAAGTTACGCGACAGTGTTTTCATTCCCGACCAACTCACTTTCGGCATTGAAACGAAGTAATACACGTAGTGTTATTTATCTCCCATCATACATCATCGCATCAAATCTGTATTTATTATGGAGCCACAGTAACATATCCTCTGTAAGCACAATGTCAAATTTATTCTAAGAATTAACTCTTTCTTTTTTTTTTTCTTTTCTTAATTTTGACAAATTATTTTGTCATTTTGACAGTAATGACACATATATATATATATATATATATATATATATATATATATATATATATGTGTGTATGTATTTTTCTTTTTGATTAATAATATTTGTATATTATTATGTATTTATTAAATTATCAAGATATTATTCTAATTTAAATCACTTCTTATTTTTTTTGGTATATATTATTACTAATATTATTGAAATATATATATGATCTACGTATTACTCYTAATGCTTGCATTAAYAAATRTTWTATTTKTTTTCTTTCAGTAAAATATTGATAAAGGTGCTATAAGTGATTATCAAGATGTCTATGCAACAGTTTTGTTTGCGATGGAACAATCATCAACCAAATTTCATTTCTGTATTTTCAAATTTATTAAGTAGTGAAACATTAGTGGATGTTACACTAGCAGCAGAAGRCAGACATCTTCAAGCTCATAAAGTTGTACTRTCAGCATGCAGTACATACTTCCAATCGTTATTCACARTTAATCCATGTCAACATCCAATCGTTATACTCAAAGATGTTAAATTTTCCGATCTCAAAATCATGGTAGATTTTATGTATTATGGAGAAGTTAACATTTCTCAAGATCAATTACCATCGATTATTAAAGTAAGTATCAATAGCAATTATGAAATGTTTTAACACTTATTGATAATAGTGAGATATTATTTTGATATTTTCTTATAGACTGCAGAAAGTTTGAAGATCAAAGGTCTTGCTGAAATGCATATAGCTTCATTAACTAAAAGGCCAAGTAGTAGTAGTGAACAAGGAGCTGCAGATCGTGGAAAATCTTGTTCTCCTAGTCCATCTCCTCTTTCTCCATCATTCAGACGAAAAAGATTAARAAAAACGTCAACAGGATCCACATCTGGATCTGGTGATAAAACAGAAGAAATTAATGAGATTGCATTGGTCGCTACTGATATAGTTAAGTCAGAACCATTGATAGTATCGCAAGAAAGCGATGAAAATGTAAGGCGACCAGTAAATTTCAGTACAGAATCACAAAGAAGTATCGATGAGGATCAAATATCAATAGTAAGCGTACTGGTAAAAAGTACTTTTTTTTTAAAATAGTTAATAGGACCTATGGTTCTAATATAGATTCTTAATAATGTATTATAGATGAGTAATATGGAATATAGTTCTACAACAATGCCAGCACAAAGTGATGGTACAATACAAAATGTGAATCAACAATCTAGTGGAAATGTACCACAAAGTTCTATTTCTTCTCAACCACCAGCACATCAAGGTAAGATTAATATTAAAAATTCATGATTATTTTTTTTTTTAATTTTTTTTTAGCGGATAGAAGGACGTCCTGGTAGTGAAGTGGTTTCTCGCGGCGGGGAGCGGAGCGTCAAGGACGACCGCAATCCCGGGCGCGGGACGCCTAATAATTATTATATAGTTCAATAATTATTGAACATTCCTAATTTGATTGAATTATTTCGATTATTACAAAAACTAATTTTATGTTTT